AGACTGGCCCCAGGGGACTACAGAGTCTATAGCCCAGGTCCTGTCTGCTCTCCTCCTGGTTTGATATGGAGGCAGCCCCAGAGCTCATCTGCAGCTCTTACTCACCAAGAGCAGGAGTCAGGTGAGTCACTCTTCCAGAGTCTTTCCTGTTTGATTTCCGTGTGCCCCAGCACAGTCCAGGCAGAGACAGCGAAACCCCAGAACCTCTTGAGCACAGAGAGGAGAGTGAGTTCAGCTGAGGTCAGCACGACAGCATTTATATTGGTCCAGTGTTTGGCATCTCATTCCTGCCTTATAAGGAGATGTTACCAAGAAATTTATTTTGATCTTGAAATACATGTTTTTTTGGCCTCCGATCTTGTCAGGTCTCTGGTTTGCCTTCTTCCCCATCACAGTTATTGTGAAATGATGTGGCCGTAGTGAGAGCAGATAGCATCTCACATAGTGGAGGCTTCTGGACAAAAGCATCTGCAGGCCTATCTTTTAACCAAGACTTGGTCAGTTAATAAGGTCTTAAAATGCTGAGCACTGAAAACGATACAGAGTGGATTCTGAAAAGTTATTTTCTCTTTATTTATATTCCTATTACCTATTATTTTTCTCCCTCACAGATTTATATCCCTGCTATCATCCTCTCTCCTTCACACCTTAAGAGGGTCAACAGTTGAAACTTCCCAATTCTTCTTTACGTTGTAGAATTAACCTCTGCTTATTCCATTGCTGTTGACTTGCCACTTGAAACTGTTCCTTGTTCCTTGTCGAATTTATTACATGCTAAATTGCAGTGTTGTGTGCAGGATATGAAAACTAAAGACAGTTTTGTATTACTGGTGAGAAGCTAATACTGTTGTTACTGTAGATGCATGTTATATGGGTATTGTCAGCCTATCTCACTGATTTACTCAGATACTAGGATGTATGCTAAGGTGCGATCACATTGGCTAGATGGTCCAAATTAGTTCACAATGATCAGAAAGGCTGTATTAAAGGACATCTGGAAGACGTTATCCAGTTGTTGAAGTCGATACCCTGGCTTCTTTCAAGAAATGGATCCTCAGATTAATTAGCTGATAACAACAGGCTTGACGTGCTGAATGCCCTTTTTTTCATCTGTGTGTAATTTCTCTCCTACGCTGTTCTCTGCTCTCATATGCCTTACATTCCTGCTTCCTTCTTCTCTCTTCTTCACACCCAAAGAGGCTCTTCAGCCAAAAACAATCCATCTTCCTTTTTTTCAAAGCGGAATTAAAACTTACAAGTTCCTCTTCACAGTTTTACTATCAACCAGGTCTTAATGCTTCTGTATACGTGATCTTTCATTATGTGTGTAGGTTCCTTTCAGCTTCACCACTCTTTTGGTGAAGAGTCCCTGCTAGTGTGTCTCAGCAGTGTGGTGCAGATGGTTGAGTTGATGGAAACCTCAGGCTTTGAAAGAGGCTGAGAGCTATTTGTTCAGAAAACCACACTTCTGCAGAACAGAAGCATGTTTGTCTCTCCTTCAGGTCAGTAGTGAACGTAACTACGGAGGCAGGGACATGTTGAGTTTTCTCTCACACACTTTAACATCATTTGAAATGTGGTGAAAAATGCTTTAAAAAATGCCTGCAACACAGATTCCCTAAAAGTGATCCAGTCTAGGTTTTACAGGCTGCCGGCTCTGTTACACACTGCGTTGATTAGGCTTTGTGATTTTTTAACTCTACTGATTTCTATGTGTATTGTGCTTTTGAAACAAGGTAACAGGCTTGATAGGTACTGTGCATGGGTCATGCACACTCTGCAGTTGATAAGACCTGGAGTGGAGTCTCCACTCCAGTGCTGTGCAGTGCAGAGTGATTTCTAGAGCGAAGACAGAGAGGTGAACTTAATATGTTATTGCATGATTGTCTGTTGATAAATAACATCTGCTCTTATTGTACAGTGTATTCCTTACACCTCCACCACCACCAGTGTGCAGCCCCACCTGGATGATACAATGGCAGCCATAGTGCACCAGTACTCTCACCACACATCAGCTCTCAGTGGGGAGGAGAACAGAGTGATGAAGCCAGTTCAGAGACGGGGATTATTAGGAGGACATGATTGGTAAAGGCCAGGGGGAAACTTGACCAGGACACCGAGGTAACACCCCTTCTCTTTTCGAGAAACACACTGGGATTTCTAATGACCACAGACAGAGACAGGACCTCGGTTTAACATCTCATCCAAAGAATGGCGCCTTCTTTTACAGTATAGTGTCCCCTTAATTACAGTGGGGTATTAGGACCCACACAGACCACAGGGTGAACACCCCCTGCTGGCAACCTTAGTTTTTCCCAGGAGGTCTCACCCTCCAGGTACTGGCCAAGCTCACACCTGCTGAGCTTCAGTTGGTTGCCATTTGTGAGTTGCAGGATGATATGGCTGCTGGCCATATCATTTTATCATTCTATTTTATGTTGTGAATTTATCACACTGGTTCCCGCCAATGTGTTGGACATCGCACTAGAAACACCACAGCAACTGACAGTCTCTACTCCGCATGCCAATCAGCTGTGTTTGTTGCTGTGACAATGCTTGTTAAAGGAAGATCTGTTCCACCTGTGTATAATTACCAATCGCTAGGGAGAATGGATATTGTTCTTGCCAGCAGGTCAGGTTACAGCAATAAGCAGGCTGTCTGCCTGTTAGCATTTTAAAGGATTCATTGTTTTAATTTTATTTTACTTTAACTCAACTGTTGTTGTTTTAAAGGGACACATTGAGGAATGTCTTTCTCGCATTTTCAACCAATCTTAAGACTTGGTAATGTGCTCCCTCTAGTGGTCAAAAGGGTTTATGACAGTCCCACACTAGCACAGTGATAGTCAAACATTTTTGCCCCTTTAACGTGTTTGTTTTGTGCTTCCTTTTCTCATTTAACTGTACTTTCCAGCAGTTTTCACTTGTGGTTCTTTGCCTTTTGAATAGTTGTGCTAGGTCCTCTCTAAGACTAAAGAGACTCAGTTCCTTCAGCCTGTCAGTGTGGGACACTCCCTTCAGACTAAAGAGACTCAGGTCCTTCAGCCTGTCAGTGTACTTCATTCCCTTCAGCTTCATCTCATAACTGGGATCTTTAGGATACAAAGTGTTGAAATTAACCATTCAAACTGCCTGCATGAATGTGATATTCATAGCTGGACTACAAAGAATAAACCTCTGGGGACAAACCACAGAAGGAGTTGACTCAAAATTGACCAACATCATTGGAACAACAACTGAAACTTTATCTTATGGTCAGATGAAATGAAATCTGAGCTGTTCGGACCTTCTCATCATCATTTGTAACCTTTTGTTACATTCATGTACACTGTGCCATTTAGGTGTACAGCAAAATCACACAAATACAGCTCAATTCAACCTTTGTATCCTTCCATCCAGTAAGAGATCACACAAGTGCAGCTCAGTCTCAGTCGCTGTACATTATCACAGCCCTGTGCAACACCTAGACACGAACAAGCTCAGTGCAGACTGATGCCAGCCCAGGTAATGGAAATGTCTGTAGGCACAGCCACAAAGGAAGTTTAGAAAAAACAACACTCACATTCTGACACATATTCAATGAGATTCAGTTAATTTTCTGTTTCCTTTTTTTCCGTTTTAGTTGTAATAACTCTGATCAGATCTCCTTTGATGTTATTGGTCTCTCCAAATCATCAGCAACTGACCTAATAAATGATGGAATAATTAATAAATGATTGATTAATAATAGTAATTGCTATAATAATAATAATAACACTTTTGTAGCACTTTTCTGGACACTCCGCTCAAAGTGCTTTATAGGTAATGGAGAATCTGCTTTGCATTTAGATTCTAATTTCTAATTGTCTTTTCATCCATAAAAGTGGCACTCTGAGTGTTCCCATTTTGGTTAAAAATAGGCATTTTAACAAAAGTTGGCGTTTCATTTGTAGTTCAACACAATGTAGTAAGGGGGTGACTACTATTGTAAGGCACTCAAGAGAGTATAATGAACTGGGAAATGAATCTAGGTAACCCCTTGAAAACAAACAACAAAGAACCGTATTAATAGTTACAAACTCTCAGAGTCTAAAAACAATGGATCGTTTACCCAGCTGCACAACCAGTAAAACAAAGGGCTTTTTGAGGGAATTACTCTAAGCATGACAAGAGTGAACATTCACACACTGAAAAAAGAGACAACCAGAGACAGAGAGGAAAAAAGCAGGAAGGAAACAGAGAGGTCAGGCCAGAGGACCTTGTTTGGATCAACCTTAAAAACCAAATTCTAGCTACGTATTTGCAACTTTTAAATCAGCTTGCTGTTTTGTTATTTTAGGAAACTCAGATTTCCATTATTGTGGAATCCTCAGGTGTCGGACATTCTCTCCAGGGTTAGCAATACATTTTCAGAACTGAGATGAATCCCCATTCAATTGGGAGATTCCAGATTTATAGGAAGGGAGATTAAGCTCTAGGTCATATGATTCAATAAAGAAAGCAGGATTATCTCTCTTGGCTTGTTAAGGCATGATGTTAATGTTGTATGAGGAACATTTTGTGTGTTCTTTAGTTTGTGTTTGCATTTGTTTATCCCAGTTTGCAATTCATTTCTTACTCTTTCACCAGGATGAGTCAGGCACCTCAGGCTGTAGGAACTGCTCAGGTATATTTTTGGCATGCTTCTGACATGTGGGGGTAATAACCTTTTCATTTAATTATTATTAATCATGCTCTACTTTTTTCCATGTTCGTAACTCCCTATTTGTAATAATATGAAACTCAAGTATTTGAGGCCAATTCCCTTAATTATGGGAATATTTAATTACTTTTTAGATCACACTAACCTTGAAATTCCTGATTTTGATGACTTTTGAGAAACAACACTCACCGAATACAACAGGATCAGAGTACAGAGCCTTTTACCAAAAGTAACATCACCACTCCCTTGAAACCTGAACCGCGCAGAGAACTTGGTCATTTCACAACGAGGAGTTCGCCGCTGTCTCTAGGCCTATGAGCGACTGTGACCGCCCAGCAAGGGGCAGAGCAGAGCTGCACCTGTCACATGAATAAATTATATCAACTCAAATGAGTTTTATCTGTGGGACTTGCTTCACGTGAGAGTATGTTGTAAAAAAAACTGTAAGCTGTAAGTATGACACATCAACTACCCTGCTTGTCAAATGTCTTTACTACAAAGAAAAGAGTTCCATAAAAGTGGTTTTATTCCATTAAACACTGATTGAGACATAAAAAACTAAGCAGGGGGGGCAGACATGGCATGACAACACACAGGTGTCTGAAACTCTGTGCAAATGTCCAATGGGATTTCTTGTTTAATGATCAATGCATCATTTCCTTCTTTAAAAAGAAAGGAATTTCCTTCTTTACCTGCAAGACAAGCCTCACCGAAGGCGGTAACGACAAACTCTTACAGGTTCTGCTGTAGAGCATCTGAAGAACCAAGTTCACTTCCAGTCAGTGAGAACGGTGTCAGTGTTACTCCCAACATGCCAGTTTTCTGCTTGTGCTTCCACATCCTGTTGCTTTGGGAAACAATGGGGTTCTGGGTTTGAATAAACTGGGGAGAGAGGCAGCTGAGCGCC